TCGTCCACCAGTTCCTGATTAGATATTTTTGACAGGTGAAGGGCGTGAGCGCAAAGGAGACTCGGAAGCGATACGGATGCGGAAGCTGTACAGGTGTGCGTTTTTTGTAAAATGTCTTCATACCGAGATTATATCATTTTTGGAAGACAAGTTTTGTCGGTCGTGGCAGTGGCTATAATATCCTTGGGTCTTATGGGTGCAGGCACGGAAAATGCTCGACTTGCAAGCAAGCTCTCGCGGCTTTACTCTGAGGAAGCTGGTCAAACCTTTCGTGTAAGCTTCTCAACTCTCCACTTCATTCCGCGTCCTCTTTTGGGTGTTTGGCTTTCTAATTCGCTCGGGTTAAATGCGTAGTTTTGGATTCCTCGAGAAGTTGCTACTTTTGGGGAGAGCATTCCGACTATATCGCGCCATACTATTGTTTCTGCTTTCTGTTAATAATGTAAGTGTATCTGACACATCCCTTGTTTAAAGGACTTCCATTTTCTTTTAATTCCTTCGGATAAGTCACTGACTATTTCTCGACCTGCTTTGACTGGTGGCTNTAAGATTTTGTCCTGCGATGTTCGTTCTGGATTTTCACTAATTAGTAAATTCTACTAATGCAATTTCTGCCTTGTCATTGCAGGAACGTTCTAGTTGGTTCGGATTGTCAACTGCCGTATCAGAATGACTGCCATAGGGTAAGCACCATGGGTTATATCTGTTGGTACTTTTTATAAGGGCTTCCCTTGCTTTATTGCCGTTTTTTGTGGTTGTAACATCTTTTAATTTTCTAATACTCCCCTTGGCTTCTACAGGAATCGCCACTTCCATGAGATTGCGTCACTGGAGCAGATTCAAAGGTTCGAATTGGAGCATTAGTCCGCCGAGGCCTTCCATATGCTGGAGTACAGAATAAGCCACTCTAACCCTCTTTTTCTATATTGACTTGTATACTATTTCTCGTCCACTTGTTCCTGATTAGATATTCTTGACAGGTGAATGGCGTGAGCGCAAAATAGACTCGGAAGCGATACGGATGCGGAAGCTGTACAGGTATGCGTTTTTTGTACAATGTCTGCATACCTAAATTATATCATTTTTGGAAAACAAGGTTTGTCGGTCGTGGCAGTGGCTATAATATCCTTTGGTCTT